TGCCGACAGCATCGTCCGTCTTTGAGTTTCCAAGAGACCACTGGAAGACGAGAGCACTCATCCTCAGCGCATCCCTTGCCTTGCGTATCGACTCCCTCATCCTCAAGATCTCCTTATCGGCAAACATCATGCGCCAGCCGCGCTGGATCCTGCCCATGGCACCCTTCTTCTCGTACTCGAGGAACTCGAACATCATGTGGTCGAGGACCTGGAAGTCGGAGTTGGTCGAGCGGAACTTCATGTCGAGCTCCTTGATCATGTCGGCGGGGAACTCCTGATGGGTGCGAGCAGCCTCGGAAAGGCCGGCCTCGATGGACCATAGTATCCGGCAGATGTCGAGGAAGTCATTGGCGAGCTCCCTGAAGCCGTGCGGTTGGTGCTTGACGTTGGTGAGGAACTCGAGCATGCGCACCGAGATGTTGTTTCCGAGGAGCGTGGCCCTCGTGCAGAGGTCCAGGACGGACTCCTTGGCCTTTGGCTTGCCATACATGGCAGCGGTCATAGTACCTCGTCTTGGTGCCTGGTAGGGCTGTAAAGACATGAGGGGTTGTTATCTCAGACGGCGATGTTGGGACGCAGTGGCTCTGGGGTTGTTATCGAGGGTAGCCTTGTATGTTGATCCGCACACGACACTATATGGTCAGATCAATGCTACTAATAAAGGCGGAATGAAGATGAAGAAACAGATCTCTCTCCCCGCTGATGGAGCAACGTGGGAGCTCAGCTGTTTATCTGTAAGTTTCGCCGCGGTGGGCAAAGCTGAACCTCACTCAAGGTGATTGCTTGTCCCAGCCAAGGTTCCTCCTCCTCCTCCGAAGAGCTCTCGGACAGGTCGAGGCCTAGTCTGTGGCCATCGATAGAGACAAGAATCAAGCGGCAAGCCACCAACCACGCCAAATGGGGCTCATTGGGAGAAGCAGGCATTGTCCCGGCTCGGAGCCATGAATCGTGATTGTACCCAAGAGAGACAAACACGGCGTCTACATTGGAGGATCAGGAAGCCGTAGTGCCAGGTACAAGGGATGTTCCAAGCACCAATTCAACGCTAGAGCAGTTAACCCCAGAGACGACCTGCGCTAGGCCGTCCGCTTTGACACAAAGGGCCGGAAATCAGACAGGAAAGCCAGTGCGGCCAGGCCATTCAAGACAAGAGACTGACATATGCCACCACTAGCTGGCATTGGGTCCCAGCGTTAGACCCCCCTGGCCCGAACTCTTCAGGAGAAAAGGAAAGGGCTTTTTTTTTCTGCTCATGAGTCTTGGGACCGGACGAAAAGACGGGACGATGACTAGAGGAGAAAAGAAGCAAAAAGCAAGTATGACAGCATCAGTGTTGTTGTCGGGCCGGGGACTCGGGAGGGAAGATAGTGAGGCTTACACATACCCTCGCTCCCACTTCAACTCACTTCAACTCTCATATTGCCCTCTGCAATACAGTGCCCGCTTCCAATCCATGTTCATCTTAGCGCTGGTGGCGTGGGGAGCTGAGAACGGTCTCGCCACGTGAGGAGGACTCCTGGCTGACATTCCGATGCCTCGCACACAGTGTTTCTGTGTCTCTGTGTTTCCCACCCCTCCGGGCCCTTCGTCTTGGCCTTGGGCTTGGCCCCCTCCTCCTCCTCCCCTCTCCTCCCCCCCACCCGGCAAACAGATCTAGCAGAGTTTTTTTTCTTCTTCTTCTCCTTCTCGAATCTGTCGCCTCGAGCGGGAAGCCTTGGAAGGGTTGCTTTGTGAGTTGTGACCGATCCATTTTACATAGCTTTCTGGGGAAAGCAAGCGACGACCCAGGCTCCACGAGCGGTTCGGTCGTTGCCGATCAAGCCTCCATCTTGCCATTGTCCTTTGTTTGTGCTGCACTGCTGATGGGATTGGAGAAGGGGGCGCAGATAGGCCCATTGGATTCGGCAGTGTAGGGGACATGCCTGAGCCATGAGGGGGACGTCATGTCCATTGCAAATCTTTGGAGAAATCGGCAGTAAATCTTGCATTCGGCAAGTGCGCATTTCAGATACGGATATCTTGACCATCTGTGCTTGTCGCTCCCAATGTGACGTCTTGCCGGGGGGCGTGGCACTGGTGGGTGTTGCTTGACTCAAGTACGCTGTCAAAAGCTGCGAAGCGGTGCGGAGCCGTGTATGTGTGTACGGAGTAGACGTCTCGAAGACGTCGATAGGAGGTCTGTTCGTCCTCGGTACAAGACAAGTTCTACGCGTCTGCTATCAGAATCAGATCAGTTTGCGACGGCCTAGACCAGCTTCAGTCCAGTGTCGTTTGGATTGATCAGCGAATTGCGGGACCGCATGTTCGTGATGGCCTGAGCAAGGGGATCTAGAGGAACCAGAGAGGAGCCAGACGGGCCAGAGAGGGCAGAGAAGGGCCATCAAATCACCGTGTCACCCATGTGTAGCGCGCTCACGAACCAATGCGATGATACACCGTTGTCCATCAAACCCTGCGTGCTTTGTCTTTAGCTGGATTAGCTGAAGCTGCGTCCCTGGGTTCGTTGCCAGGGTTTGTGGTCAGGGGTAATAATTAGTATGTATAATAGCAAGCGAACAGGCAGGCAAGCAACAAGCAAGAGCAGAAGGGCCAACAATCGCAAAAGAGCCCAGGAAGGAAAAAACTAGCAGCGAACCATCGCGCGTCTGCGACCCTGGGCCGCGGGGAATAAGCTGATGTGCCCCGTTCCAATGGGCACGGGACGGGCTTGCGAACTGCGAGGGGAAAGTTAACCGTGCGTCTTGATCGCCGCGATGAGAATCTGTGGTCCACACTGGCTGGGCGGGAGTCCCTGTCTCTCCCAAGACACTACGTCGGAGGAGGTGGTGTTGTTGGACCTTGGATCTTGATGGTTGTCGTCGTGATGGTGTGTGGTAGTAGTTTACTATGTGTTTACTATCAAGAAGGGCGCAGACGCCGCGGGCGGGAGGGGAAGAGGATGGGGGGATGATGCCGGCCGCCTAACTTCCAAGACATGAGCCCCAAGACATCGTTGTTCCTTGCACAGACGCTCGTGTCGTCAAGACTTTTCAATCTGCTGTGCCACTGTTCGCCAGAGAATGGGTAAGCTGTAAGACTATTCTCCACCACACACCTTGGCCAGGCCAGGTCCGCGTCGTGTCCTCATTTCGGACTTGTTGGCTAGGGCAGATGCTAAGCCCAAGGTTCATCTAGAAAAAACACGGTACGGACGCCGTACGGCTACTTACGTCTTGCAGACTAATAATGAGCTGAGAAATTCGGGTTCGTAAAGGAGGAGCTGATGAGTGCATGAGTGGTGGTGGATGCATGGACCGGAGCTCTCTCAAATCGTGTGCCGGGACCCTACAAGCAACCAAACAGCTAGCTACGTCTAAATTGCATTTGCAATTGCATTTCCACAAGATTGGAGAGCTAGAGAGGGCTGGAGGGGCAGGGGACTTTGGGGGACTCGGCCCAGCTTTCGAGGAATGAGGTCAAGAGGAGGAGGGGTGAATGGCACCCGAAGTTTGCGCCTATGATGCAAAGTCACCCCCAAAGATGTCAAGAAGAGGCAAGGTCAAAGGCAAAGCGAAGCGGGCGCAAAAGCCACAGAAAAGCCTCGTTTGCGTCCTAGGAGGATTCCCCGAACGCCTCCTTGAGTCTCTATCGGCGACTTGGTTGCTGGTCGGAGGGTACCACACCAACGGATTTTCGACGCCAACGCCAAAAGAAGCCAAAATCACGTCGAAATCTCCTCAAGGCTCGCCCCCCGTGGTCCCCGCCCGTCCGGTCTACTCTGAGCCTCTAAGCCTATCGCTCCGACTGGCTGACTAGGCCAACTGTCACTTTGCCAGGTCAAATAGCGGCGGTATTAGACTTCGGCCGGGCCGGGTCTACGCGTCCACAAACCAACATCTACCTCGGTTTGCTGATGGCTGCTTCCATCCATGCGGCGCAAGCAATACGTATCCGTGGACTCACAGACTCGAGGAATCTAGAGAATGAGGGTGTGGTGTCGCTCGCAAGCGTCTGGGCTTAACCCAACGCAGCTTTGCCTCTGTTTGCTGACGCTACTCCCTACTTTTACTCCTTACTGTCTGTACAGTGTAAAGTAAGGTGGAATATCCGTAGTTAACTTGCCAACTTGCAGGGCTTTTTCTCTCTGGCGTTTGTCCTAATCACCACTGCCGACATGTTCCCACCCCAAACCATGCCGGCACGGTTACCCGCAAGCGCACCAACGCACACCAACGCATGCAATTATGTTTGCGCTCGGGGGGTTTTCTGGCAGACTACACAGACGGCTGAACATTTGCAATTTCGCTGCCGTTACTAATCCTGGGCTGGGTTGTCCTCTTCTATCGAATTGCCACGTGGAATGGTCCCTGCCCCTTTTTCTTGCCTCTGCCATCTGAAAGATTTCCTTGGCCTTGTGCCACAGGCCGCCTCTCCATGGCGTAGCACTACCAAGTACGGCTTTACGCCTCTTCATGGCTTATCCCCGTACTCCAGTAGGTTATTGCTCGGGAGATGCGCATTGAAGAATCAAGATCGTCTTGGAGGATGGTCAACTGCTAAATTCACTGCGGAGTGTCATCTCCCGGCAACGCTCCACGCTCTTTCTCATCTCTCTCCACGAAAAGGAAGAATAATGAAATCTTTGTTGTTCAGGCTCCTCCATGTTCTACACTCGTTCTTGTGCCGAGCCTAAGAACAGCAGTGCTGGATTTCCTAGGATCCACTGATCAGCTCGTGTGATATAAGGACTGAGACAGGCGCCTTCGGGAGACGCCTCGCGGTCTCAGTCCCACGGCAGCAACCTTTTCGCATTGACTCTTTCCCAAGGGTCTATCATCTGAATTGACATGGACTGTACAGGGAGAGTCACAGAGTACAGATATTTGCGGCTTGCTTTCGTTCGCCGCCTCGTCCCATCCTTGCATACCCTTCGGTCCCCTGCCCAGCCCAGTCATGGCGACGTGTATTCAGCCAGCGTTGCCTTTACCAACGTCGCAGAGCCAGCAGATCGCACTCAATCCGAGGCAGTGGTGTGGTAGATTCATGAAATGTTTAAACGTCGTCAAGTATACGGTAGGTACCAAGTATGTACGGAAACGTCCCAGAGACCCTTCGTGGTCACACCTCAAAATCCTACGGCGCGCTTTTCCCGCCCGCCATGTGTAACAATACAGTAAAAGAAGAAGCAACCAGAGCATCAAGGTATCTATACTCCAAGAATTACATCCGCCGCCTTCTCGCTAATCATGTACACCGCCGACGCGATGTAATACCCAGGAATCTTGGGGAACACGCTCGCGTCCACCACCCGCAGACCTTCGGTCCCTCTCACCTTGAAATTTGAGTCCAAGACGGCGGTGGCATCGCCGTCTTTGCCAATGGGGCACGTGCAGCTGGCATGGTGGCCCCAGGCTTCATTCCTGACGAACTCGGGCAAGTCCGCATCGGTGACATTCTTCCCGGGCCAGACCTCGGTGAAGCCTCCCGTGAGGGGCACGACGCTCTCGAACATCTTGCGCGAGAGCTTCATGCCCTCTACCACGGCCTGGATGTCCTTAGCGCCCGTTGCCTCGTCCTGGAACGAGTTGAAGTCAATCTGCGGCATATCCCGCGGGTCGGCTGAACGCAGCTTGACGGTTCCGGCCCGGTTGCGGCTGTGGGCTTTGAGGGTGATCCACGTCCAATGTTTTTGGTCCGCGGTGCCATCGACGGAGTATCCGGGATAGTAGCCAGGGAAGGCGACTGGTGCTCCTGCGATAAAGAGGTCCGGGTCTCCCTCTGCCACTGTCGACTTCTTCACAATACCCAGGCTGATGCCGTTGGAACCATAGATCCCCCTATCACCACTCGCGGCGCCGTCCTGCCACTTTTTCAAGCAGGGATCGTCTGTGCTGGGGCGAATGAAGGTGCAGCCTTCGATGATCTGAAAGTTTGTCGGCGTTTCGCCAATAACGGACGTCTCGTAGCCTGTTGTGATGATGATCAGTCAAACGGCTCTACATTGGATGATCAATTTGTCAGCAGCAAATGAGGAAACTCACGGTCTTGCAAGTTGGTGCCAACACCAGGAAGATCGACGATAGAAGGGATACCGAAAGAGGATAGCTCCTCTTTGGGGCCAACGCCACTGAGCTTGAGCAGCTGCGGGGTATTGAAGGCGCCGGCTGATATGATGACTTCGGCCGTGGCGTTTACGGATCCGGCGACGCCAGAGCCGGCATCGCCGGATCGGGGGTCGGCGCGGTAGAGGCTCTGTCCCGTAACAAAGTCTACCCCCACGGCCCGGGGCTTCGCGCCGCTCTGGTCGAAGCGCACCTTGGTCACGAGGGTGGTGAGCTTGATGTCGAGATGGTACTTTCTAGAACCATCCGCGTTCTTCGCGTTGGCCGTGTCCAGGACGAACTCGCGCGGTCCATTGCGGACGCCCTTGTTGACGGAGATGGGGACCTGGTAGAGGCCCTCGGCAGAGTCACGGCTGGGCAGATCGACGTTGAGATCACGAAGGAGAACCTCGCCGAGACCCTGGATCGTCGAGAAGATCAAGCCAAGGAGACTCTTGCCCATGGCGGAAGCAGCGGACAGAATAACCGTGAGGAGCTTGACATCCTTGATGACAAGTCCAAGGTCCGTCACGGAGGTGGTAAGCCAGCCGTCGAACCCGTGTCCTACAATACCATTGGGCAAGTATTCAGCATTCTCTAGGCGCTGGAAATACTTCCGCATGTTGGACGCGCCCCAGGTGGTGTCTCCGGTCAAGGTCGCGATGCCATCCCAGTCTGACTTGTGCGGGTAGACCGTGATCAACGCGTTGTGACTGCCGCAACCACCCAGCGTACCAGCTCTAGGATAAAGGATGCCGAGTGGCTCAGCGCCAGCCGGTGGGTTGAGTCCGACGTAGAGCTCCCCGTTCGCAAGTCGGTATGTCATCTTGGAGTCCTTCTTCTGGGCCTCGAGATCGGCAAAGTGTTGAACGTAGTAGTCCCATTTCATTGGGGCGTACTCTGTCGACTGAAGGTTCAACGCAGGGACCTGGTACGGGATCGAGTCTCCCTGGTCGTCGCCGGCGTCGATGAGCAGGACCTTCTTCCCGGCGATGGCGAGCCGGGCGGCAAGTGGGCCACCGCCCGGCCCGGAACCGACAACGACGTAGTCATAAGACGCGAGGATGTCGGTAGATTGCCGTGGGACAAAGTGCTGGCTTGGGCTATCAATGTTGTATCCGCGTCAGCCAACCACGTTCATACTTTGCGTACCTCGCGTCTTAAGGTTTAGGGTAGGCCAAACTCACACAGCAGAGGCCGTAGCCACGATGTAGCCGAGCAACACATTTGTGACATGGAGACACCAACGCATCTTGGATGAGATTGGAGACTTTCGAACTGGTTCTTGAAGAGGTCGCAGCACCAAGCAACTCAAAAAGGAACACCCGTCGTCAGAAAGTCAGTCTCTCTCCAGGCGCGGCGCACAATCCCCTTAAGAACTTGGTCCAAGAAACCTCACTTGTCCTCCTCGACGCGATGCGCCTGATCGCGACATGGGGAAAAAGTCGCAACGCCCCTTGCGTTTGATTAGATATGTCGCTGTCCGTCATGTACCCTCCCCATCTCGGATGTGACCTGCTTCTTTCCTATGTGACGGTGATCAATGTAGGTGATGCTATGTATGGCAACCTTCCCACTCAAGGTCCCAGAATCGCCCTTCTCGTGGTTCACTCAGCCTACCATCGTCGGCCGAAGGAACGATTAGGGAAGGACGTGGAGGTTGCCCCCCTGGCATGAGCACGGGAGAGAATCTGAGAATGATGCTGGTCATGTGGGAACACGAGCGGGAGGCCGATTAAGGTGAGGAGGACGCCAGGGGCCAGCGTCGCAGTCACGGCGGGCGCGAACTTGGCATGACTGTTGCGGGGGCTGCTTTAAATGAGATTGCGCTGTAGGATGTCTTGAATCGGGAAAGCTATCCGATGCACTTCGGAGCGCCGAGCACGAGGGCAGACGGACGGTCCTGGTTATGCGGGGGATAGCTCAGCCTTGGAGGGAGACATCGGTCCAAATTCTGAATGAGAAAAACGTAAAACATGGCCAGATATCTTCATGGCTGGACTAGTTCGTCCGGGGATGACCTTATACGCGTTCCGCGGGGTGTTGTCAAAGCTCCCAATTAGCCTTATTTCTTTGGTTCATGCATCTCCCATGTGTCCATCCGCAAGGCACGATCGATGACATGTTGGATGAACCGGTCGAGTCTCGCAAACCTGCGCCTCGCATATCCAAAACATCAATAAGCGAGGGGGTTCATGATCCCATTGAATCCGTATAGACATGAATCAGGCCACCCCTGAGCAAATCTTTTGTTCGTTCTGCTCAGCTGTCCGCCCAGCTGAGTTGCGGTTGGGCATGCAATATGCGAGCCCCCTGTCCCCCGACTCCCCGCAGAAACTTGGCTCACTAAAGTCTGATCTTGGTTAGCACCATCTTTACTGCCAAAGAAACCCGGTGTTCGCCCCAAGCCTATTGCAGTACAGCGTGTGAGCATCTCACGACTGTAACGGCCCCAATGCAGTGAAGGATACCACCGGCGGGAAAGCCATCAAGATCCCAAGAAACGGGCTGGTGATGATGCGGCTCGCATTGAGTGATTCAGCCAACTTCATCTTTACCATCGAGGATCTTCATTTGTCACATTTGTTGATGTGATAGCGCTTGGAAGAAGAAACTCAGAGTAATGCGCACTATAACTTGAGCACAGCTAACGCACGCAAGCAGCCTTTCACCGTTGCTCCCCATCACCCCATAAGCGAGAGACATCAAGCAAGCGCTGTCGTCCACCTGTTCTACGTCGCTTTGAAAGAAGCCGGATAGCCGCACATGGTGATGTGAGCAGTAAGCCCCGTGGCGCTCTCGCCAAAGCAATTGGGCTGGATGCATAATCCGTAAGTCTAGTCGCCCAGACGTTAGCGACGAGAGCTGGGAGCGCTTCCCCGTCTCCGCGACGTCGAGGCCATCCCAAAGTGTGCCGGTTTCGTCCATCGCAAGCCATTGTTTCGTAGTGGCGGCTGAGTGGCGATCTTGCCCTGTGGATGTGGTCTCACGAACGAAACTCCGGTCGTCGTCATGTAATGTCCAGTTCATATACAGGATGTCTCCCTCATCCCGCGTGGCTCCGGCCTTGTTGATGGGGGGTTTCCTTTCGCCGTTGTGACATCTGTACGCCCATGCAACGATCGGCATCAACCACACATCGCATGCCGTCGCATCGTTTTTGAGAATGAAGCAAATCATGCGGGTCGCAATCGTCCTGCTGTTTGCTGCGGCGGCACAGGCAACGGTGCCTAGCTTGAACACGACTGAGACCACGAAGCTACTCGCGACGACGCCAAAATGTGCGGTAAGTCACTCTCACAGTCTCAATCGTGGTGTTTCATGGCCATCTCATGACTTTGAGTCAGTACTTAGTTACACTCACTGACTTGGCTTATCTTCTAGATGCCATGCTTCGTCGATGCGTTCCATTCTGGCAATTGTACCCTCGACGGCTTGGCGGACTGCGTATGCACCAACATCCCTCTGCAAGCCCGCGCCTCCGCATGTATACAGCAAGCTTGCGAGTTCGAGGATCAAGTTTGTGAGTGCCGGTACCTAAGTCGTATTCATGGCTCCATTCTCGCTAACATTACTTTGAAGCCACCGCCCGTATCTCACAGCAGTTATGTGAGGGCTATCCTTACCCTGATCGCAGAAAGTTTTCCAAGGTTTTCTCCATTGGCCTACCCGTTATCACGATCCTCACGGTAGCTCTCCGATGTCTGGCCCGATTACAAGTCACGAACCGACTGTGGTGGGACGACTGGACGGCACTGATCGCTTTGGTAAGGTTCCTGGTGAGGGTTCACTCGTAGCAACTCACTCACTGGCGGTGGCAGGCATTTTTGATAGTCATGTCTGGCCTGGGCTACACAAGTATGCACTTTCCTTCGTGGCTCAAGAAACTCGGTGTCTAGTGCTGACTTCAGCTGCGCATTAGATGCCGCAATGGGATTCGGACTTCACTATTGGGATATTGATCCGGGAAATGGCAAGACTATTCTACAGGTACGACAACGCATGGCACATCATGATATCGGGGTAGCTAACTGAAATTCTTTTCAGATTTTCTATGTATTGCAGATGCTCTACATCTTTGTTCAGTATGTGCATCGAGACACGATCCAAGGTAGTATTAAAGGACTATCGCTAATAGTGCACTAGAGTCTTTGCCAAAGCCTCCATTGCCTGCTTCTACTCCCGCGTGTTCACCAATCAGAAATTCCGCCTGGCACTCAAAATCCTCATGGCGTTTCTGTTCATCCACGGCTTCATGTTTCTGCTATTGATGGTATTTCAGTGCCTACCTATTGAGTCGATCTGGGATCGATCCATCCAAGGTCGTTGCCTCAATGTTTCGGCTATCAGTTACGGAGGCGCTGCTTGCAGTATCCTGGAGGATATTATCTTGATTGTCATCCCTATTCCAGAACTGATTAAGCTTCAACTGGGAAAGAAGAAGAGAATGGCATTGGTTTGCATGTTTGCTATTGGATCCTTGTAAGTGACGTGCCGACCATTGAAGCGGCTTAACAAATGTTAACTCAGTGTTGCAGTGCTTGCGTCGCGAGTATGATTCGACTAAAATACTTGGTCTCATTCGCTAATTCATTTGACTCTACTTGTAAGTTCCCCCGGTCATCGTCGTGTGAGATTGATGCTAACAGCTGCTCTAGGGGACAACGTCGACGTCGTGCTGTGGTCATCTGTCGAGCTTAATCTAGCAATCATCTGCGGCAGCCTTCCAGCACTACGACCTCTCTTCAAGAAATTGCCAATCTTCTTCACGACTATCAAATCAACAATACAAACCGGAACACAGCGAAGGAAGTCGCAAGCACAGTCTACGACAGCGGTTCAGAAATCGCACCATTCCCATGCCTCACATGAATCGAGCACCCAGTCATCGCCCAGCAACTCTCCCCAGAAGCCACATGCAGTCAAGCTAAGAGACTTCGGGGGCAGTTCGACAACGTGTGATAACGACACACAGTATACTCTTGAAATGACCGATGAGGAGAGCAGGGATGATTTGGAGAGACAAGACTGGGCACGAGCATATGGGAAATAGGGGTGAGATGCTGCTGCTGTCTGATGAGGAAGAAAAACGTAATTAATGTGTAACGACCAGCGATGTATAATTGAGGCTCAACTTGAAATGCAAAATGAGTTGAATTCGTTCGATTTAGTACCTTACCACATCAATTGTCGGTTTTCGTGCGCCTCCGATAAGAACGACAAAACTCTGTAAGATGGGTGTAAACTTAACTCCCGTGATAATATGTGCAGTGTTATGATTCTACCAACGTCATAATTATCCCGCTTGCTGAGGCTTTCGCGGATCAACGATTTGAGAAACTCAACGAGAATTCAGTAGACATTATATTCTCTGTCTCCGGATTCTGTTCTTATCATTCCGAACGTAAGGCTCTGCATATTGAAGCGAGTTGTCAAAACTGTCTTTCTACATGTCATGCACGAGATGTCCATTGGGAACCTAGGGCACAAGTGGGGGAATATATATGTAGACATCAGTTAGGTGGATTCCAATCCAATCGATACAGGGGCATAAAATCAGTCTGATTCATCTGGAAACGAATAACAATCAAAGCCCCGTACATCGCTGACGGGAATAGTGCCGCCTAGTCAAAAAGTGGTTGTGGACCTTCGTCGTGACTCGCATTTCATAAGAGATTGCAGGGAGAAGAATTCGCGGTCCACCAAACTATTTCACCGCACATCCACTCGGGCAATATAAATCTCGCCAGTCTAGACTAATCAGGTTTTTGCTTCAAGAGCACAAACGTGGAAACGAGGCTGTGGTCGTGCTGCCCACAGACTTGTAGAAGGGCAAAAACGACAGCACAGGTGGAGTAGTACCCATGTCAGTCTCCATACGTCAGTCGGAATAACTTCAGAACGACGCGATCTGATACTAATCAAAATCTGATTTGAGAGAAGAAGTAGAGTCGGTGACGAAGACACTCAAGTCGGGGACGACTTACGAGGACATGAAAGTGGAACGACGAAGATAGATCGATGGAATGAGTTCACAGCTTATGCTGAACACAATTTTGGTTCTCGTATAGTGTGACATGATAACTACCGGGAGTGTACCTAGTTTTGTGAAAAGGTCTAGATTTGCTCTTGACGCCGGGGATGCGTCTCACAGTCTCCTGATATGCATTTCTAATCGACCTCAATGTTTCTTTAATCTTCATGCCATCTTGCAAGGGTTTAAAGATGACGGATCCAAACAAGGAGTCTTCGGGAGTTCGGACGAATTTGAGTGGCTCACTAAGCGGGCTCACGGCCTGGTTATGCGGACTCTGAGATGGCGGCTGTGCCGCATCGTCATGACATGGATTTTCCAATTAGTAACTTACATGATTTTGCACCGAGAGAGTCGGTCACTCTCATGCAAGACCGAGTTTATAAATATTGATCATCCTCTCACGATGCAGAACATTTGAATCAAGCACTATCACCGACTTCAATTCTAACCTCACCATCATCAACCTCCAGTCATAAGAAATCAAGCAAGTCTCACAAGATGGACGTTCTTGCAACCCTCGACTCCAGACTCCATTTCAAAACGGCCGATGTCGACGGCATTCAACACAGATATATCCATGCACAACCTGATTCGGAAAAGTCAGTTGGTACTGTTTTCCTCGTCCATGGATAGCCTGATTTGGCCCTGGGCTGGGCCAACCACATTCCCTTCCTCCTCTCCAAGGGCCTGAGCGTCGTCGCCTTGGACAAGATTGGATATGGTGGGACTGATTCACCCGAGGATGTCAAGTTTTAGTAAGTTACGACGCGTCAAGGAGTCAACCAGAGGTTGGATCGGTTAGAGCCTGCGGAAACTCATCATTTTGAACCCAAATAGTACCTGGAAGCGCGCTGCAGACGACATCGCCACACTCGCAAGCCAACTTGGTCTCTCTCGTATCATCCTCGGTGGACACGACTTTGGTGGAGCAGTGGTTTATCGGACCGCCATCTGGCATCCAGACCTCGTAGCCGCTTTCTACGTGCTCAAC